AAAAAAAAAAAATGCCTAGAAGGGAGAGGGCTGACATGTCGTGGGGTTGTTAACCAATGTCATAAAACAATATGTATGCTGACTGTTCAATGAGAAACTATTTGTTCTGTAAACCTTCACCTAAAGTACAATAAAAAAAAAAAAAAAACAACTTTTTCCCGTTGTTGTTAGGTACCATGGAGTCAGTTCCGACTCATAGCAACTCTATATACAACAGAATGAAAAACTGCCTCGTCCTGTGCCATCCCCACAATTGTTGCTATGCTTGAGCCCATTGGTGTAGCCACTCTGTCAATCCATCTCATTGAGAGTCCTCGTCTTTCCCGCTGACCCTCTACTTTACCAAGGGTCTTAGGCTGGGTTCTCTAGAGAAGCAAAATCAGTGAAGCATATAAATATATAAAGAGATTTATATCAAGGAAATGGCTCACACGGTTGTAGAGGCTGTAAAGTCCCAAGCCAGTGGGTCGGGCTAGAGGCTTCTCCTGACTCATACAGCTGCAGGGGCTGGTGAATCCAAGATTGTCAGGTCAGACAGCAGGCCTGTGGCTCACAGACTGCAGAGGCTGATGAGTCCCAACATTGTCAGGTAAGCTGCTAGCTCAAGTCCAAAGAACTGGAGGTCAAATGAACAGGAGCCAGTTGCAAGATCCAGAGCAAGCAAAACCCAACCAGCTTTGCCAGAAAGTCCACCTACATTGGATGCAGTCCACACTTCCAAAGAAAGTCCCTTTCAACTAATTGGCTGCTCATAACAGATCTCACCATGGAGGTGATTATATTGTATCAGATCTCATTATTGAGATGATTACACCATACATAGTTATCAAACTACACCATAACTGCCAAATGACTGAGAATCATGGCCTAGCCAAGTTCACTCACAATCTTAACCAACACAACCAAGCATGATGTCCTTCCACAGGGATTGGTCCCTCCTGATAACATGTCCAAAGTTGTTGTTGTTGTTATATGATGTTGAGTTGGTTCTGACTCATAGTGACTCCATGTACAACAGAACAAAACACTGCCCGGTCCTGTGTTATCCTCACAATTGTTATTATGCTTGAGCCCATTGTTGAAGCCACTGTGGCAATCCATCTTGTTGAGGAACTTCCTCTTTTTTGTTGACCCTCTACTTTACCAAGCAAGATGTCCCTCTCCAGGGGCTGGTCTCTCCTGATAACATGTTCAAAGTACATGAAATGAAGTCTTGTCATCCTTGTTTCTAAGCAGCATTCTGGCTGTACTTCTTCCAAGACTGATATGTTCATTCTTTTGGCAGTCCATGGTATATTCAATATTCTTTGCCAATACCACAATTCAAAGGCGTCAATTCTTCAGTCTTCCTTATTCATTGTCCAGCTTTCGTATGCATATAAAGTGATTGAAAACATGGTCAAGCGCATCTTAGACCTCAAAGTGACGTCTTTGCTTTTTAACACTTTAAAGAGATCTTTTGCAGCAGATTTGCCCAAAGCAATGCGTCACTTGCTGCTTTCATGGATGTTGATCGTGGATCCAAGAAAAATGAAATCCTTTGACAACTTCAATATTTTCTCCATTTATCACGATGTTGCTTACCGGCTCAATTGTGAGGATTTTTGTTTTCTTTATGTTGAGGTGTAATCCATACTGAAGGCTGTGGTCTTTGATCTTCATCAGTAAGTGCTTCAAGTCCTCTTCACTTTCAGCAAGCAAGGCTGTGTCACCTGCATATTGCAGGTTGTGAATGAGTCTTCCCCCAATCTTGATGCTGCATTCTCCTTCATATAGTCCAGCTTCTCAGATTATTTGTTCAGCATACAGAATGAATAAGTGTGGACACAACCCTGATGCACACCTTTCCTGATTTTAAATCAAATTCTGCTTAATATGAGGCAAAGCAGGTATCACCTGCACACATTTAATAACAATATACTTTTAGTTAAATTACTTGTTAACATTACTATTAAAAATAAAGAATGATAAAACTTACTGGGTGGTAGAGTTTTTTCCTTTGAGTGTTTCTTTAGGAAATCCTTCGGAGAAGGTACTTCAACTTTTGCTGGTCCCATAGTTTTCATTGCAGTTTTAGTTTTTTCAATGTCTTCTCTCACAGTTGTCTTAAAAATTGATGTGTACCTAAAATTAAAAAAAAAAAAAAAGGTGTAGCAATAACTTCTAGCACAAATTATTTGAGTTTAACAAAGTATATAATTACCTGAGTCCTGTCCATCAGCTCAGGCAAGCTAGATGGAAGCTCTGCCCTGAGAAAGAGTTACCAGGGTAAAAATGGTATTTTCTTATTATTCTTTGAAATTTTGTAGGATCAGTAGTGATGTCACCTTTCTCATTATTGATATTGGTAATTTGCGTCCTCTCTTTTTTTGCTGATCAGTCTGGCTAGGAGTTTATTAATTGTATTGATCTTCTTAAAGAACCACATTTTCATTGTTTTTCTCTGTATGTTTTTCATTTCATTGATTTCTGCTCTGATGTTTACTATTTCTTCTCCTAACTTTGGGTTTAATTTGCTTTTCTTTTTTGTTTCTTAAGGTGCAAGCTTAGGTATTTGATTTTAAACTTTTATACTTTTCTGATATACGTGTTTAAAGCTAAAAAATTCTCTCTAAGCACTGCTTTAGCTGTTTCTCACAAATTTTGATATGCCATGCTTTTAATTCAGCTCAAAATACCTTTTTAATTCCCTTATATCTTCCTTGGCTTAGAAGTGTGTTTAGACACATATTGTTTTGTTTCCAAATACTTGAGGATTCCAGATTATCTTTGTAATTGATTTCTAATTTATTTCCATAGTGGTTAGAGAATAGACTTTGTATGATTTCAATCCTCTTAAATTTTGTTGCTTGTTGTTTGGCACAAAGCTTAGTCTATCTTGGTAAATGTTCTGTATACACTTGAAAAGAAAATGTATTCTGTATTGTTGGCTGGAGTGTTCTATAAATGACAGGTCCAATTTGTTGATAGTGTTTTTCAAGTGTTCTATGTCTTTACTGATTTTCTGTCTACTTGTTCCATTAATTATTGAAAGAGAGACATTGAAATTTGACTATAATTGTGGACTTGATTATTTCTTCTTTTAGTTCTATTGGTTTCCGCTTCAGACATTTTGAAGTTCTGTTTGTAGGTGAATACAATTTAGGATTCTTACGTCTTGAAAAACTGACCCCTTCATCATTATACAATAACACTGTTAACACTTTTAATATTCTGTACTCTAAAATCTACTCTGACATTAATATAGTCACTTCAGCATTCCTTTACATGGTTCCACAGTATATATTTTTCCAAACTTAGACTTTTTGCTTATCTGTGTATTTATTTTAAAAGGGTTATCTTATAGACAGTATAAAATGTTTAACCAATCTAACAATCTCAATCTCTTTTATTTGGTGTGTTTAGACTGTTTGCATTTAACTTGACTTTTTTTACTCTTGTGTTTAAATTTGCCCTTTTGCCATTGTTTTCTACTTATTCCATTGTTCATCTTTCCTCTTTTTGTCTTGCCTTGCCTTTCTTGTGTTGTTTTGTTTTTATGGAAGCTCTAGGGTTTACAGTACATGTTTAATTTATCAAAGTGTACCTTCAAGTAATATTATACCCCTTCACATATGGTAGGAGCCCTGGTGGCACAGTGCTTAAGAGCTTGACTGTTAACCAAGAGGTTGGCAGTTTGAATCCACCAGCTGCTCCTTGGAAACCCTATGGGGCAGTTCTACTCTGTCCTATAGCATTGCTATGAGTTGGAATCGACTCAACAGCAACAGGTTTGGTTTGGTTTTCACATATGGTATAAGAAACTTACAAAATACTCCCATCTACCTCCCTACACCTTTGTCCTAGCGTTGCAATGTTTTACTTATACATGTGTTATAAAACCCGTAATTCATTGTTTTTAATTTCCCTTTAAATAGTCAATTATATTTTAAAGAGATTTGAAAAGAAAAAATTATTTAATATTTACCCATATATTTACCATTTCCAATGCTCTTCAATGTGTTGTATAAATCCAAATTTCCCACTGGTACTATTTTTCTTCTGCATAAAGGACTCTCTTTAACTTTTGCTTTGCATTGTTTCTGAATACAAATTTAATGTTCTTCTTTCTTCCTCTGTTTGTAATGTTTCCTTTTTCTCTGGCTGATTTTAAGAATTTTTTCTTTATTATTGGTTTTAAGAAATTTCATTACAATGTCCCTTTGTATGGTTTTAATATTGTTTTTCTGCTTTGGGTTCATTGTATTCCTGGATTTAGAGATTTCATCAAATTTGACACATTTTTGGTTGTTATTTCTGTTTCCTCTTCTCTCTCCTCTCCTTCTGGGATTCTAATTACACTTTTGTTAGGCTGTTTGATATTGTCTCACAGCTAACTAATTCTCCGTTTTCCTTTTCAGTCTTTTTCCTCTATGTGTTTTGTTCTATTGCTGTCTTTAAATTCACCTATATTTTCTTCTTCAGTGTCTTAGCTTCTGTTAATCCCACCCAGTATACTTTTTTTCATTTTAGACAAGCTATTTTTTATGTCTAGAAGTTAGATTTGGGTATATTTTTTTCTCTTCCACTTTTCTCTGTATCTTACTGCTCATGTTTCCTTTGCCTTTTTGAACACATAGAAAATATTTAAAACAGCTGTTTTTAATATTCTTGTCTAGTAATTCTCCCACTGATATTATTTCTGAGTTTGTTTGTATTGACTGGATTTTCTCTTGGTTATGTATTGTATTTTCTTGCTTCTTTGAATACCTGGTAATTTTTTATTGGATTTCAAACATTGTGAATTTTGCATTGTTGGTTGCTGAATTTTCTTCTGTTTTCTATTTTTTCCCCTTTAAATATTTCTTTAGCTTTATTCTGGAATGCAGTTGTGATAGTTGGAAACAGTATAATCATTTCAAGGCTTGCTTTTTAAGTTTTAGGGCATGTCGAGAACAGTCTAGTTCTAATTTGGGCCCACTAGTGAAGCAATATGTTTCTGAGCGCGCTACTCGATGTCTTGTATGTTAGGAGACATTTCCACATTGGCTGGTGGGAACAAAAACTATACCTGACTCTGCTGCTTTCTGGCAATTATCTCCCTGGCCTTGGTAGTTTCCTCACACAGATCAGCTGATCATTACTCAACCAAAGACTTGAGGGGAATTCTGAAGATCTCCAGAGTTCTGTATCTATGCAGTTCTCTCTTCTCCTGTACTCTGCACCGTGGAGTGGCTTTGGCCTCCCCAAACTCTGAACTCTATCTCCTTAACCCAGGGAGACTGCTGGGTTTTGTTTGGATTCTCCTTCTCTTGGCCTTGGCATGGAAATTCTCTTCAGGGCGTATACTTGGGCAGTTGTAGGGCTCACATCATTTACCTTTCCTTAGGATGACTGCCCTTTGCTGCCTATTGTCCAGTGTTTGAAAACCATTGTTTCATTTTTTTGTCCTGGTGTTTTAGTTGCTTGAGGAGAGAGAGTAACCGTCATTGGTTGGAAGAAGTTCAGCTATACTATTTTTAACAACTTGTATTCTCTTCTTTCTTAGGTGGATAAATTTGTTTGAAGAAACGTTGTTTTTTGCTTTTAGTGCCCTTTCCTCAATCTTGGAACTCAATGGGAATCAATTATTGTTCAAACTGAATGAGCTCATTAAATATCTTTAGGAAGTAACATTCAAGCCAAACTTGTGCATTAAAATTCCCAAGGAAGTTTGGGTTGGTAGCTATAGTCTCTTGATTAATAATTTCCATTGCGGTTAAACACGGGTATGTATAGTCCCACCTCTTTTTTAATTTGCAATCTTATGATTCAATACATCTTTTTTTTTTTTTTTTTGGTGAGCTGAATGTTTACCCATATGTTATAGAAAACAGGAAGATAAACATTCTATTCTATATAAATGATAATTCTTTATTTTTCCAAATTAGTTACAAAAATAAATTAATAAAAATCTTGGTTCCCTCCATCTCCTCAATCAACTTTCCAGAATAAATTTTGCTTTATATGCCTCTATTTATCTATGAATTGGAACTTAATTTTTAAAACTTAATATAATGTGACATCTTCCTTTGTTAGCACATGTAAAGTTTACTCTCTTTTCAATAACTGCACTTTATTTTCTGAATAGTGTGGTTTTATTATAAAGATCCAGAAGATGATATTATTAGACAACTCACCCTACTTTCTACTTACTATTAGGTGTAGGATAGAGATCAATAGTTTTAAAAGTATAATTGTCATCTTCAATAAGCATACTGTAAATTTTACTTAATTTTCAATAACCACCATATATAAGTTACATTACTAAGTTCCTAGATATACATTTTCAAAACAGTATCTTAAAGGGTATGCAAAGCAATGACACTGGGCCAGTTTATGAATGCTTGATTGAATTTTTTTTTTTTTTTTACCCTTAGTGGGTGAGATGGGCATCTGGTTAACAACTTTTTTGTTTGCTTGTTTCAGGCCAAAATTATGTAGCGTTTCTTTAGTGCATGGAATTTTGAGGCCAGGACTGTGTCAGAAAGACACCAAATTACTGTTTGAGGAGAATCTTGACATGCACACAGATACCCCTTTAAGCCCACCTACAAGCAGAGAAGTGAGAATCTTCAGTTCAATCTCATGACTACGTCACATAATCAATGATTAAAAATGGATGCCAATTTTACTCCTAGCTTAGGTGGTTGTTAAAGCCATATTCTGCACTTAACTGACAACACAAGTATGTGTTATTGAGTATAATTTCAATCTTAACGCTGCTCAGTACCTATTCACGAGCTGTTGAGAGAAATAATAAATACAATGGATTGTCAAAAGGGTATGTGTATTCATCTAAATCTATGCTGTGCAATACAGTAGCTACCAGCCACATGTGGATATTGAGTAATTGAAATGTGGCTAGTACCATATGCTGAAGTTATAATATTTGGGATATGCTGGTTAAATAAAATATATTACTAAAATTAATTTTACCTGTTTTATTTCTACGTTTTCTAAGTTACTGCTAGAAAAGTTTTAAATTACGTATGTGGCTGCATTATATTTCTACTGGAAAGTGCTGGTCTAGATATTGGAAAAATTTATCCTTGAATTAAAGTAAACAATCAGCTGTATACCCAGAGCCTCCAAAACTGCATTCA